CTGTTCTTGTTATGTGCTGTCAAGTCGCCTGTGACTCGTAGCAATGCTATGTGCAACAGCCCTAAACCCTGCTCTGCACTGTGCCAATCTCCGACATGCCTACCTAAATTATCCTAGTCACTGAATCTATCTCATCAAGGGTCTTCCTCTCCTGCACTGTCCCTCCACCCTCCCAAGCATGATGTCCCTCTCCAAGGACTGATCCCACTTTGCAACATGGCCAGTGTATGTCAGAGGAAGCTTCAGAATCCTTGCCTCCAAGGACCAGCCTGGTTTAACTCTCTCCAGGATGAACCTGTTCATTTTCTTAGCAGTCCATGGTATATTCGATACTCTTCTCCAACACCACAGCTCAAAGGCATCAGTTCTTCTTCTATCATCTCTAGTCATTGTCTAGATCTCTGACATATAGCAAATGATTGCAAAGACCATGACCTGTGTCAGTGCACCTTAGTCTCCAGAATGACATCATTGCTCTTCAGTACTTTGGAGAGGTCTCTAACAGCAGACTTTCCCATTGCAATACGTCTTTTAATTTCCTGGCTGCTGGTGTCAAGAGTGTTGATTGTGGAGCCAAGCAAACTAAAGCTGTTTACAATCTCAATCTCTTCACCATCCATCACAAGGCTGCCATTTGGCCCAGTGGTGAGAATCTTTGTTTTCTTGATATTGAAGGCTGCAGTCCTTGACCTCTTCAGCAAGTGCTTCAGGTCCTCCTCAGTTTCAGCAAGCAGGGATGTGTCATCCACATAACACAGATTGTTGATGAATCTTCCTCCAATCCTGATGCCACATTTCTCCTCATACAGCCCAGCCTCCTGGATAACCTGTTCTGTACATAGACTGAAAATCTATGGAGATAGGACACATTCGCGGCATACACCCTTCCCAACCAAATTTTTTCTTATTTTATTTTAATGAAAGTTTACAGAGACTTTGGATTTCCATTCATTTATTATTGCACTTTTCACCCTGCCCCCCATTCACTTTTCTTTTTTTGAAAGTAAAAGAAAAAATTATTTCATTGTTATTCAATCCCTCTCCCCACATCCACTCCACTATGCTACCTTCGTTCTGAACTCCCGTCATAACAATAATATCTAATCATATATCCCTTTTAAACAGTTCTCTTCCTCATCAGTTTCATTATTTATCCCATCTTTCTCAGTCTCCCCCCAACCCCTATGTCAGTCCTGTTTTATAACAGTGGAATTATGCCATATCTGTCTTCTTGTGACTGAGATATTTCACTCAGCATAATGTCCTCCAGGGTCACCCAACATCTTTCGCAGTCAGAGATCGATTGAATGTGCAGTCAAGATGTATTAATAATAATGGGTGACTGGAATGCAAAAGTTAGGAACAGAGAATAGGGATCAGTAGTTGGAAAACATGGACTTGGGGAAAGAAATTAATTTGGAGATAGAATGGATTTTGCATAATCAACGATTTATTAATTTCAAATACATTTTATAAGAAACATAAATGCAGGTTATACACATGGATTTCACTAAAGGGTATACATAGGATTCAGATTTATTACATCTGTGGAAAGAACCTTTGGAGAAGCTCAATATCAACTGTGAAAACTAGACCAGGTGCTGATTGTGGAACAGACCACCAACTACTCATATGCAAGTTCAAGCTGAAGCTGAGGAAAATTAAATCAAATCCACAGGAACCAAAATATGACCTTGAGTCTATCCCACCTGAATTTAAAAACCATCTCAGGAACAGATTTGAGGCCTTGAACAACAATGAGTGAGGACCAAATGAGTTGTGGGTGGATATCGAGAATATCCAGAAAGAGTGCAAAAGGTCATTACAGAGGAGGAAGAAAAGGCCAAAATGGATGTCTGAAGAGACTCTGAATATTGTACTAGAGCGCTGTGAAGCCAAAGCAAAGGGAAGGATTCAAGATATGAAAGAGCTGAACAGGAGATTTCAAAAGGCAGCGTGGGAAGACAAAGTGAAGTATTACAATGAAATGTGCAAGGAGCTGGAGTCAGAAAATCAAAAGGGCCGAACTCACTCAGCATTTCTTAAGCTCAAGGAACTGAAGAACAAATTCAAACCTCGAGTTGCCAGAATATTAAATGATCCAGGAAGTATTAAAAGAAGATGGAAAGAGTATATAGAGTCACTGTACCAAAGGAATTGGCAGACATGGAAGAATTTCATGAAAGAACATAAGAGCAAGAGCCTATGGTGATGAAGGAAGAAGTTCAAGCTGCTTTGAAAGAATTGGCAAAAAATAAGGCCCTATGAATTGATGGTATACCAATGGATATATTTCAACTAATAGATGCTGCCCTAGATGTGTTCACCAAGTTGTACCAAGAAATCTGAAGGACAACCACTTGGCCAACTGACTAGAAGAAATCTATATTTTCTCCCATTCCAAAGAAAAGTGATCCAACAGAGTGTAGATATTATTGACCAATATCATTAATATCACATGCAAACAAGATTCTACTGAAGATTATCCAAAAACGACTGGAACAGCACATCAACAGAGAACTACCAAAAATGCAGTCGGGGTTTAGAAGAGGTCATGGTAATATGGATATTATAGCTAATGATAGATGGATCTTGGCTGAAAGCAGGGAATAGCAGAGGAATGTCTATCTGTGTTTCATTGACTATGCAAAGGCATTTGACTGTGTGGATCATAACAAACTGTGGCTGACTATGAGAAGAATGGGAATCCCAGAACACTTGATCGTGCTAATGTGAAACCTATACTTGGACCAGGAGGCAGTTATCAGAACAGAGCAAGGAAACACTGAATGGTTCAAAATTGTAACAAGAAAAGCCAGGGCAATATGTACCAAAAAATTCCATAGCTAACTTTGTTGTTATTTTTGTGTGTGGATGAGTCAGAATAACTCATAGCTGACTGTCCAGCAAGGTTTCAGAGTTCAACCTGCCTCCTACCTTGGAGGTGATAGCCCAAATCCTTATTGAGCAGAGGTGGAATGTTAGACCTGCACCAGTAAGTACAATGAAAGGAAAAATTATAAACCATTAATTCTATTTTTCTTGAGATTTTAATGAAAGTTTATAGAGAACTTGGATTTCCATTCATTCATTGTTGTACATTTTCCTCCCTCCTCACCCCCCAGTTCACTTTTTTCCTTTGGAGAAAATGATTTTATTGTTATACAATAGCCCCTCCCACCCCAGTCTATTTTACTATGCACCTCCTATTCTAGACTCTTGTCATGCCAATAATACTTAAGCATATATTCCTTTTATACAGTTCTCTCCCGCCTCTGTTTCAATGCCCTGTATGTTATGTATCACCTCTTAGTTTTCCCCCCAACCCCCATGTCAGTCCTGTTTTATAACAGTGGCATTATGAAGTATTTGTATTTTTGTGACTGAGCTACTTCATTCAGCATAATGTCCTCCATGGCATGGTCACCATATATAATATTTCATGAGTTCATAGTTTTTCAGTGTGTGAATATACCACAGTTTCTCTAGCCATTTGTTTCCTGATGGGCACTCATGTTGTTTCCAACTCTTCACTATTGTGAACAAAGAAGCAATAAGCATGGGTGTGCATATATCTGCTTGGGTGGCAGATCTGGTTTCTGGGGTTCTGGTTAATGGGTTAACATTAATTCTTGAAAGGTCTTCGGTGTTGGAGAGATTTGCTCTGTGAGCAAAGTCATATGGTGCTCAGAGAGCAGGGCAGAGTTGCAGCTGACAGTATGATATAACTGTGCATGTAGAAAACTATCTTTGTATTCAGTAGCCCAAGTTGTTGTTTACCGTCAAGTCTGTCTGAGACTTGGTTGTTTGCCCTCAAGTCAGAAAGACCCACTGCCACTCCTGTGGGTTTTCAAAGGCAGTTAATCTCACAAGAGATTATCCAACCCTCTCCTGTGGAGCAGCTAATGGATTTGAACCACGTACCTTGGATATTTCAGTGCAGTTTCTTTACCAGTAGGTCACCAAACTGCATCATGCAGATGACACAATTCTGCTTACTGAGACTGAGGAGGTCATTAAGCGTTTGCTGCAGAAGGTCAAGTATTGCAGCCTTCAATATGGATAGACGCTCAATACCAAGAAAACAAAGATTCTCACTACTAAGCCAATCGGCAGCATCACGATGGAGGGTGAAGAGATTGAGATGGTAAACAGCTTTCGTTTCCTTGGCTCCACAATCAACACTCTTGGCACCAGCAGCCAGGAAATTAAAAGACATATTGCATTTGGGAAAGTCGGCTGTCAGAGACCTCTCCAAAATACTGAAGAGCAACTTAGTCTGGAGACTAAGGTGGGCCCGATACAGGTATGGTCTTTGCAATCACTTGCTTATGCTTCTGAGACCAGTCCTTGAGAGGGACGTCATGCTTGGGAGGGTGGAGCGACAATGCAGGAGAGGAAGACCCTGGATGAAATGTATTGATTCAGTGACTGGGTTAAGGGGGTGGGTGTGTCAGAGATTATAAAATTGCAAAGGATAGAGCAGGGTTTAGGGCTGTTGTAAATAGGATTGCTATGAGTCGCAGGTAACTCGAAGGCACATAACAACAGGTTACCAGAGCTGCCTCTTGTTGTTGTTGTATTGGAACGAACCCATAGCTGACCCTCCAGCGGGTTTTCAGAGAACGTTAATCCCATGGGTATATTGCCCATCCGTGACCAAAACACACCTAGATATGAAAGGCCAAGCCTATAACAGGAGGGCTACAAGTCAGAAAAGCTAGAAAGTCAGACTAACAAACCTAAAGAAATGCACTCATATTAAATAATAGTTTCGAAGTAGCTGATATGAATTCATAGTATCTTTTTCTCCAAAATTTAAATTTACCTTTACATACGCCCTACTTGGCCTTGCCCAAACAAAAGATGGCGGCAGCGGCGCCGGAAACCATAGAGTTTCAGGCCTAGAGAAGCCCGGTAGCCCGATAAGATCTCTGCGGCTCTACAGAGGAAGTTCAGGGCGGAGCCAGCGAGCAGAGGAGCCTGCGCCGGCTGCCAAGATGGAAGAGGAGGAGAGTATCCGCGTGGTTCGCTGTGGCGGCAGCGAGTTGAACTTTAGGAGAGCGGTGTTTTCTGCGGATTCTAAGTATGTGACCGGGTTGGCGGGTTGAGGGTCGCAGATCTCAGATCCGGTGGGGAGAGAACTGTCAGGGGCGCGTGGGAACTCTGCAGCCTGCAGATCGGAGCGCTTTGGACGGGGCACGGGAGCGGGGGACCCTGGAGCTCGCGCGGAGGACCCCGGGGCTCGCGCGGGGGACCCCGGGCCACACCGAGGCGCTGTGAGAGGAGCCCTGAGGCACTTAAGGTTCGGGTGCATCTCCCCCTGCAGGTCAGGGTCCGCAGGTGGATGGAGGTGTGTTGGGGTGCTCCCACGTGTTAGTGGTCCAGGCGTGGTGTTATTGGAGTATCTTTACTGTTTCGTGTAGAATCTTGGTATTAACGAACCCTTATAAAGATTCTGCCTTGCCCATTTTGCACCCTGGAAATGAAGAATCTCTTTCAAGACATCCCTGGTAGTGTAGTTGGGTGTTGGCACTACTGACCTAAGAGTCGTGACCGGCAGTTAGAATCCACCAGCTGCTTTGTGAGTAAATGATAGGCAGTCTCCTCTCCTGCAGTTAACAGCCCTGGAAATCCAAAGAAGTATTCCTTAAAAGTCAGTATGACTCGATGACAGTGAATGAATGCTCATTTAATAATAAGGCCCTTTGGCAACCTTTTTGGTGCTCTGTGTGAAAACTGATGTTAGACTTAACTATTGCCTGAGTTTGAAACGCATTTCTTAATCAGTGTTAACTTATCATTGATAGGTTTATCATTGTTTCAGTTGTCTGTAAAATGAAGATGCTTCAGTTGTCTTAATCCTCTCATTGTATGTAAAATGGAGATAATACGGTATTTGTTGTTTGTTGTTGTTATGTGCCTTCGAGTTGTTTGTGACTCATAGCGACCCTATGTACAACAGCCTTAAACCCTGCTCTATCCTGTGCCAATCGCATTGCCTCTGACACACCCATCCCGATTACCCCAGTCACTAAATCAATCCACCTCATAGAGGGTCTTCCCGTCCTGCGCTGTCCCTCCACCCTCCCAAGGCATGATGTCCCTCTCCAAGGACCTGTCTCTCCTTACAATATGTCCAAAGTATGTCAGACGAAGCTCCAGAATCCTTGCCTCCAAGGAGTAGCCTGGTTTAACCCTCTCCAGGATGAATCTATTTGTTTTCTTGGCAATCCATGGTACATTCAATACTCTTCTCCAGCACCACAGCTCAAGGGCGTCAATTCTCCTGTCCTCCCTAGTCATTGTCCAGCTCTCTGATGCATAACAAGTGATTGCAAAGACCATGGCCAGGCACACCTTTGTCTCCAAAGAGACACCATTGCTCTTGAGTACTTTAGAGAGGTCCCTAACAGCCGACTTTCCCATCGCAATACATTTTTTGATTTCCTGGCTGCTGGTGCCAAGAGTGTTGACTGTGAAGCCTAGCAAACTGAAGCTGTGAACAATCTCAATCTCTTCGCCATCCATCCTGATGCTACCAATTGGTCCAGTGGTGAGAACACAAATGCAGACCTACATCTCAGAAGCTAGGCAAAGTATCGTCACAACCCAAGCAGATCCTGTGACTTAGCTTTAATTTGTTAACTGATGTTCTCAGTAAAAAAAAAAAAAAAGCCAATTAGGAACCTGGAAGATAATGTTCTAAACAGACCCGCTGAAGAATAGTGGTTTATAATAAGTGAACATATAGCATAGTGTCTGCATTCATTTAATAAGCAGAAAATGTGGTTAATTTGACTGTTTTTGCAGGATAACTGTACAGTCTGTGCCCATAGAACAAGTCAAAGATATACTGCCTTCATTAATTTGCTGTGGGAATCAGCTGTAAATATACTCATAGCCAGGAACAGCTCACAGTTAAGCACACACAGTTCTTAAGATGATACAACCTTGTTTGCTAAAAGTGAGGAGGACTTGAAGCATTTGTTGCAGAAAATCAAGGATTGCAGCCTTCAATATGGATTTCATCTCAGTATCAAGAAAATAGATTCTTGCCACTGGACGAGTAGGCAGCATCATGATTGGTGGTGAGTGTCAGAAGTTTCCTCTTGCTTGGATCCACAATTAACATCCTTGGTAGCAGTAGTCAGGAAATAAGGAGACACATTTTACTGGGGAAATCTATATTTAGGGACATTTCCAAGTTATTGAGGAGTAGTGATGTCAATTTGAGGACTAAGGTGCATCTGCGTCAGGCCATGGTCTTTCTGAGTTTTTTGCTTTGCATCTGAGAGCTGGACAGTGACTAAGGATGACAAAAAAAGAATTGATGCCTTTGAGCTGTAGTGTTGAAGAAGAGCACTGAACATGCCATGGATGACCGAGGGAATGAACAGTTATGTCTTGGAGAGGGTGCAGCCAGAGTGTTCTTTGGAGGCAAGAATGATGAGTCTTTGCCTCACACTTCGGGTGTGTTTCTAGGAAGGGCTATACCTTGGAGAAGGATGTGATGCTGGGAAGGGTGGAGGGTGGGCAAAAGAGAGGTAGACTCCGAACCAGGGGGATTGACACGGTGACTGCTGCACTGGGCTCTTGTTTGTGAGGATGGCACAGCATTAGAACAGGGTTCAGATATTTTGTTCATAGGGTCGCGATGAGTCGAAGCCAACTCTACGTCATCTAACAAAAACAAATCTCTGTTGCATGCTTTTATGTTTACCATGGAGAAAGTGATTATACTATATGTGAAATGCATTTTCCCCCTCTCCTTTCTAGATACATCTTCTGTGTTTCTGGAGATTTTGTTAAAGTATACAGCACAGTTACGGAAGAATGTGTGCATATACTGCATGGACACAGCCAATTGGTGACTGGAATCCAGCTCAACCCCAACAACCATCTACAGGTGTCAAACTTTGAGCTGAACTTGTTTGGTAAACTTTTCAAGTTGTGAGCAGGGAAATAACAGAGTTCATTTCTGAGTCAGAATATATTAACTTTTTTTTGTTGTTTTGTTACTAAAATAAGGTCATAGCATGCAACCACACCACCTATAATACATTCTGTGACCCATTTATTCCATAATATACTAGTGTTTTCTTGAAAGAAAAGATAATTAGCTGTATGAGTTTCTAAAATTAGGGCTTTCAAATTATTCTATCGATTGTTAATTGTGGAACTCTCCTGATCCCTTCACATATATTGTGACTATCCAGAAATGGTGGATAGAATTTGCTGTTGCTCAAACTTACTTCATCTCTGAATTCTTTGGTTTCATTAGAGTGCCTTATTACCTGGAATGCATTTAGGAAAAGTTGGCTGGCTCATTAACATGGTAGATCTCTCTTATTGGAGATAATACTGTCTAGGGTAAATGCGGATATTACCTAATCTTGAGACCAGTGTCTGGACAAGGAGAAATGCCTTTTCAGTTGGTGGATCTGTAATTAGTGAATCAGGACAAACTTGGCCGTCTAGTTTTATCCATATCTTCCCCATTCCTTTCCGCAAAGAAACCCTTACTTGTCAGAATTCAAGAGTAATGAAATGGAATCTGTTCTTAAATCTTAGCAAAGCCACCAAAAAAAAAAGTTACCTCGACATTTATTGCACTTGCTCTAATTTTTTTACCGAGTCCCATATTTCTGGACTAGTTGCAACCAGCCTAGAAGTTACTGCTTAAGAGGCTTCTCTTGCAATATCTCGGAGGGAGTAGGACATAAAGTGACATTTAGCTTTTCCTTCTAAAATGGCATTACTCTTGATAATCACCTAACTCGATTTAAACTCAGCTAACTCTTTTGCAGGAATTAAGCATCCTTTTATCTTTATTGTCTTTTAAAAGACTGATAAAACCCCCATAAACAGAAGCATCGTATATTAAAATTGAAATTTATGGAAAAGAATATGGATTTTTAAAAATACTCTTTTCCAGATACTCTGAGAAATACTTCAGTGCTCATAGAGGTGGAAGTATTTCCACTAGTAGGAGGGAAGTGAACTATGAGAGAACGAACAGAAATTTGAATGTGTTTTACACAACTCAGTTTCCTACTATTTCCTTAAAGATAGAAACTTTTAAAGACTTAAATTTATTGAGTGTCCTTTCTCCAGAGGATTGTGATGATGTCATTTGTTTTTGAGGCTAGCATTAAATTAATTAACAAACATTATCTTCTGCATTAGCATTAAGTTTATCACTTAGATTTCTATTTCATTAATAAATTTTTTACTATTTTTGTCCTTTTAGTTGTATTCTTGTTCCTTGGATGGTACAATTAAGCTATGGGACTACATAGATGGTATTTTGATAAAGGTACGTTCGTTGATCTTCCATTTTCCCTATGTGAAATGAAATGTTGTTGATTGCCTTCAAATCAAGTGAATCATAGTGACCCTGTGAACAAAAGGCCTGAAGCCCCTCTACAACTGTTGACATTTGTGAAAGTTCATAGTTTCCAGAGGCATGTTATTTAGGAATTGGATACCATTCCTGCTTCCAAGTGAAATGAAATATCTATGTAGTTTAATAACAGATTATTCTGTCTATATCTAGTCTTCTGTGTTTGTTCTTTCTTTGCAAGTGGAGAAAATCAAATACCAGAAAAAGAATTTAAACATCTAAACAGAAAAAGGCAATTGATAACAGTAAAAGAGGATATTTATAGAGGGTGTTAAGCGTATTATAAAAAAATCAATTTTTAAAAAAACTTGCTAATGCAGTGAAAATATTAGCATAGGGTTTAAGTGTATAGTTCACAGAAAAAAAATTGCAAATAGCCAGTAAACATGAAAAAATGCTTAATTAAAAAAAAGTAAATGTCAGACTAGTTAAATTGCAAGTTGAAAAAAATCTGGTAATTTAATACATCTCTATATATACATTCATTGAGATTAAATTTAAAATGAATATCCACTTCACCCCCTGTTTGCTCCAGCAATATCACTTATAAGAATTTCACTAAAACAATAGCACAAATAATGTAATCTCTACAACATTGTTCATAGTAGGGGGAAAAATGTTTTTAAAAAATATAAACCTAAAAAAAAAAAAAAAAAAAAAATATAAACCTGATGTCAGTTGGTAGGGGACTGGTTAAATTGTAACACATTCATTCAGTGAAGTTCTATACACCCATTAAAAACCAGATAGAGAAGTATGTACTAACTCTGAAAGCTCACTCAGTAAATATCTGTTGTCTCTTATAGACCGTATACTATTCTGAAGTCGGGGATGACAAACCCACTGCCATTGAGTTGATGCTAACTCATGGTGTCCCACTGTCAGGTTTTCAAGGCTGTAAATCTTTGGAAATGGCTGCCTGTTTCTTTGTCAGATTGGCTGCTAGAGTCAGACCACCAATCTTTTGCTTAGCATGCTAACACATAATCCATTGTGCCAGCAGGCCACCTTACAAGGGGTTATACCAGCGAGCAAAACAAGAATAGCTGCCTGCAGGGAAGTAATTCTTTAGTTAGGGGAAACAGTCACTAAATGAGGTAATGGCTTTTTGTCTTTCAGACTTACACAGTTGGGCATAAACTTCATGCCCTTTTTACTGGTAGCCATGCTGAAGAGTCTGTCTTCGTTACAATAAGTAAAGAAAGCCCAGGTACAGTATAATTCACCTACTCTTTCTGTTTGTCACTGAGTAGATATATTTTGAAGGTACAGCCAGCAACCAGTTGATGTGATGTAGGATTTGAGAAAATGCAAAGATTACTCAAATGATGATGTCATTAATTACAGTGGGAAATATTGAGTAAAGACCAAGTTGAGAGGAAAAAAAATGAAAATTCAAAACTTGAATGTGTAAATGTTGATATGAGGGAGACCATTTAAGGCATCGTTAGTTTGGAGGACATGAGAAAGACAGATAGGACAGCAAAGTATATATCAGTGTAGTGTAGAATTTTATATTCATTAGAAAGTCAAGGAGGTTGAAGTAACATGATGAAATAGTTACTTCCCTTTAGGGAAAAATGTTTTTAAAGGGTAAAGAAAAGAACATGTTAACAGTAAAAGGAATTTGTCTGAAAATGTTTTGAGTAGCATTTCTTAATGTTGTCTCAAGTAGTTTACTGCTTTCTTTGGATTTGCTAATATTCCTGTTCATTCTTCATTTTAATAACTGCTTAGTGCTTCAGAATGTCAAATGAATCACACAAGTTGCTTACGATATATTGATAAGATATGAATATAGCTTTAACAAATAAATTTCTGCTTAAGTATATATATTCAAGAAACGAATTTATCTTTGGGCCACTTTCTTGTATAAATTAGAATTAACTTGGTCTTACTCATGTAAGAGTATGAATATATGTACTTTTTTCACTTTCTCTAAAGAAGGTTAATGTTAATATTGTTCTCTTTGGCTAGATGTTTTTCAGCTGGTTTCAGTGAAGCTGCCCAAATCATCAGGTCAAGAAATAGAAGCTAAGGAGGTATCCTTTATTTTGGATTATATAAACCAGTCACCCAAGTGCATTGCTTTTGGAAATGAGGTAAATTTTTGTTATATTGGTACTCTCTTTTTGTGTATAAATTCTCTTTCTTGCACTCTATTCTCTGAGCATTTTATTTATTTGTTTCACCATAATTTATTATACTTTTATTAGTAACCAAAAAGTTTTTATTGTTGCTTTATATTATTTTTGGTATAGATTTTCTAGAACCGTCTCTAATTACAAGTATTCTAACCTATTGCAGTTAAGTTCTAGAATTCCCATTCTCCTCTGTATTACCCATATTTTATTGTGATTCACATAGTCAGATGCCTTTATACAATCAATAAAACACATAGTCATCCTTCTGGTATTCTCTATTTTCAGCCACGATCTGTCTGGCATCAGCAGTGATATCCTTCATACCCTGGCCTCTTCTAAATCCAGCTTGAATTTTTAGTAGTTCTCTTTGTACTGTTCTAGCCATTTTTTAATAATCTTCACCAAAATTTTACTTATATATTGTAATAATGATATAATGATATTATTTGATAATTTCCACATTTTGGAATGGGAACATAGATGGATCTCTTCAAGTCAGGTGGCCAGGAAGCCATATAAATTAATTATAGCTAACAAGGTATTAAATCAAGTTTTGGGAATGTTAACCGTATCTCTTTTAAATACTAGGGACAGTATGTGGCAGCAGTACGGGACTTCTACTTGTCTGTTTATTTTTTCAAAAAGAAAACAACATCAAGGTAAGAGTTACTTTTTTGTTGCTTTATATAATTATTTAAGAGTTTGATAGAATTTTGTTCCACACTTCAATCCAAAACGGTTTCTAGTTGCATGTTACAAGTAATTAGATCTCTCAGCACGTAGGGAGTTGATTATTTTTTATCTGCAGTAGATAGAAGTGAGAAAATTATTAGTCACAGACAGCTTGGGAACATTTTGCCACCAAAATCCTCTTGTACCTGTGTGCACACTTAGCATCAAAATTGAATGTACTTTGGAAAGCCTTTCTCTATATAATTCTGATTTCTATTTTGTGGATAGAAGAATTAACACAGGCCTTCAGATACCCATTTAACATGAGTAAAATTTAGTGCATTTGAAATTAGTTTTAAAGTTAATAGCTACCTAGTAGAGTTGTAAAAATTTATAAGATCGCATAGAGACTGTTAGTAAGCTTTTATAGTCACTCTTCAAGTGGCATTGTGCCGTCTTCCCTGTTATCCTGCCACCATTGACATTTGTGGGGTTTTTGTTTAGTTTTGGTTTTTTTCAGTGTTAGTAAGGATCCCGAGTTCATCAGAGCTAAAAGACTATCAAATACTCAGCTTGAAAATAAAAAATAACCTAGATATTATAATAATAAGTGGATCATCTCTTTGGATTTGCCCTTCTAGCCATGTTAGCCAGTTGTTTCCGATACAGTTTTTTAGGCTTGTTCATACTTCATGATAAAAGTATACTTCTGTGGGAAATTAGATCAGAGACTACCTATCCCAACAAGCTGTTAAAAAGCACTATCTTCCTTCATCATCAGTAGTCTCTACACTAGTTATAATGGTAGAAATTTAGCTTTATAGCATTTATATTTGTTTATTAAAACATATCTACAAAACAAAATAATTGGTTCTTTATCAGGATTTTCTTTCTTTTTTTTTTTTTTTAAAAAAAGGTCCTGCATTTCTACTCCATGAAATCTGAGAGCCTTCTCATTGATAAAAATGAAAACTTTGTTTTACTGAGCTGTATCACCCTTCTGAGAGCCTTTGATAGATAACAAAAGAGCTTTTTCTCCTCTTAGGTTTACTTTATCATCATCAAAAAATAAGAAGAATTCTAAGAATGAATTCACGTGTGTAGCATGCCACCCAAGAGAAGACTGCATAGCCACTGGTCACATGGATGGCAAAATTCGTCTCTGGTCAGTTGATTAATAAAGATTGTGGTGATAGTTTTTATGCTGTTTTACATTAATCTTGCAGATCAGAGCTATCTCTGAATCCAGTAAAAGAATGTACTAAAGAACTGCTGTTGGAAATAGGCTTTGCTGGCATCCTTCATTTGTGTTACTGTATTCTTCATTTCTCTAATTTAGAATTTTTTACATTATGTAGTATATTAATTATATCTAGTGTTACTGTATAACAGAAATAACACAAAAGACTAGTTTTCACAAAATTTATTTTCTAACAGTTTTAAAAAAAAAAAAATCAGGCTCCTTGCTGTCTAGTTAGAACCAACTCGGAGCTGAATCTCCAGTGCGTTTCATAGACTGGAAATCACACAGGAGAAGATGGCCCATCTTTCTCTGCAGAAGAAGTGGTGGATCTCACAGTTTAGGGGACTGGAGATACAAATTCAAGATTCTGCCTCCAGGGAAAGTCATTCTCTGTCCCACAAGCATACACATACTCCTCACTTATCCTGTCTCATTAGTATCACAGGTGACCCATTCCCAGATGGGATTATAACCACATGCAAAGAGGATAGGATTTACCACAGGTGTTTTTGAAGGGACATAGTTCAAAACTTTAGCATTAGAGGAATGAAAGACCATATGTTGCCTAGAGTCATTTTAGTGTAAAGGACTTGGTTTTGTCAGCCTTCATTAAAAACGTTGGTAAATATCTGACTAGTAGTAAACCTAGGAGGTAAAAATGTCTCAGATTAGAAATAGAAAATTTACAATTTGAGTATTAAAACCAGTAAGACATGGTATTACAGTTTATGTTGGTGTTTGACACTCCATAAATCTAATTAAAAATTTTTTATTTGTCCACTAGGAGGAATTTTCATGATGATAAGAAATACACATATACTTGTTTACATTGGCATCATGATTTGGTTATGGATTTGGCTTTTTCAGTAACAGGTAAGTAAGTGCAAACTTAAACCAGGTATTTTCATTCACTATATTTATAGTGAAATTTAAAGACATATTACGATGGGAAAATCTACTGTTAGGGACCTCTCTAAAGTACTCAAGAGCAACGGTATGTTCTGGAGCCTATGGTGAGTCTGGTATAGGCCATGGTCTTTGCAATCACTTGTTATGCGTCAGAGAGCTGGACAATGACCAGGGAGGATAGAAGGAGAATTGATGCCTTTGAGCTTTGGTGTTGGAGAAGAGTGCTGAGGGGTACCATGGACTGCTAAGAAAACAAATAGAGTCATCCTGGAGAGGTTTAAACCGGGCTGCTCCTTGGAGGCAAGGATTCTGAGGCTTCGTCTGACATACTTTGGTCATGTTGTAAGGAGGGATCGGTCCTTGGAGAAGGACATCGTGCTTGGGAGGGTGGACGACCGGCGCAGGAGGGGAAGGCCCTCTGAGAGGTGGATTGATTCAGTGACTGGGGCAGTCGGGAGAAGCGTGTCGATGAGGTTGGCACAGGACAGAGCAGAGTTTAGAGCTGTTGTACATAAGGTTACTATGAGTCGCAAGCGACTCGACACATAACAACAACATATTTATAGTGAAGAAGACTTGTGATTGAATAGACCAAATGAATCATAAGCACACATCATCCCTGGGTAGTAGACACTTATTATTAACTGGAGCTAAAACCTTATCAAGTGGAAAGGACTCTACTAGTGCTTTGCACTCATTGTTTGATTTTGTCCTTGACACTGTAAATTTTAAACTAATTCAGACCTTTATTCCATTTAAGCTGGCTATAATGATTGAACATACATCTTTGGAAACAGAGTTGTCTTAAACAAAAGAAGCCATTTGTCTTTTATTATCTCTATCTCTTATCACACCCTCACTCATTTGGTGAAAATTATATCACCATATTGTGGCTGCTCCTGAGAAAAGTAAGTTAGATACTAGAGAAGATTATGTGTCAGATCTAAGTGAGAAGACAGGAAAAAGCTATTTTTCTTTCCATAGGTTTTCTCAGAGACTACTAGGACAAACGTAAGATGGTGTTCTAGATTTACAGTGCTAGGTCGATTTTACTTACTACTACTTGGAAATAAGAACCATCTTTAGCCTGACTATACGTTGTGTTTATGAAACAATGACGTGTATGAAAATGATACCCAGTATAACATACTTAAAAATTAGTACAACAGGAATATAAATCATTACATATTGGAATTAGGAATAGAAAAATTGCTTTTGATGATAAACTATAGGCTGTCCTATGTACACATATAGGTGTTCTACACAGTGTCTTTGGTCCATTGTTCCACCCTTCTTTCCAGTCTTTGATTTTCCTATCCTAAAAGATGCCACTGCAGAAAACTTACTCCTAAATAGAATGAGACAGTAGACAAGATTGTTGGTAACAGCAACAAATCAGAGAAAGTTATAATTACAGTAGAAGTAAAATTAGTCCTTGATGTAATTAGGATAGGAACCACAGCATAAAAAAGGAAATAAGAAATAATGCTTGAACATGTTCTCAAAAAGGCAATTTATATGACAGATAAATTTCTGAAAAATCATGACTTAACAGAACAGATCCAAAAAGAAAAATAGCAAAATGTAAATAAAATCTCTTATTCGGTCTTTTTTTTTCTTTTTTCTTCCAATTCTTTACTTAAACTATCTCCGGTGAGATTGGTTGACACAGTGACATCATGCGGCCATGGCGTAGAGTATGGTCAAGTCTGTGAGGTTGATGTAGGATACAGTCAGGCTTCATTTTTTTTCACTGAGTAATTATGAGTTCAACAGCAGAAATAGACCCATGAATTTCACTAATAAATTCTTCCAAACAATAAAGGAAGAAAAAACCCAATTCTTCAGTCTTCTAGATTTTTATAAAAGGGAAGAGCGAGCATTTTCCATGTGTATTTTATCTAATTTCACATGATTTACTTCTTTTCCTCTTGCTCATTTGTTTGCTTATTCCTTGCCCCCCCCCTTCAGTTCCTCCTCCTCACATGCATTTCTATTGTCCATAGTTAAGTTGGAAACCATTCCCCCAATGCAGGCTAATGAAATGGATAGAAAAGTCAGTTTTCAAGGTTTCTGACACCACATATTTTTGGTTGATTTCCTTCTTTTCTTTGAGCTTGGAAGGCTTGTCAAGAATTTTTTTTATCAGAGTTATCTTTTCTTATTTTGTTGACTAATGATTTTTGTTTTCTATTTTGGTTATCTTTTATTAGGGAGAATGATTCCTAGCTTATTTTACTATGATTGGCGTACATACTAAATGTATGAGTTTTTTAAAATAATCTGAGAACTGCTTTAAGTAGCCCAGCATATAAGCGTGAGAAAAATGGGCATTCTCCGGAGTTCAGCGTTTGAATGTATAAAACTAGTTTTTTGATTACTTGTGGTAATCACATCTTCTAGATCTTTATAAGTTAAGCATCTTGAAAAGTTTAATACTTGTTAAAATCATTGTGAATTTTTCTACTTCTCCCTTTAGTTTGATCCATTTTTGTCTATATTGTAAGCTTATAATTAATTAGGTACGTGTAAATGTGAATATTTCTTAACTCATTATTAAATATTCTCAATTATTATAATTCTCTTCCTTTAATGTCTGAGATTTTGTCATGTCATCCTTTTCTTTGATGTTGATGTGATGATGGTTCTTTCCAAGCTTTCACTTTAAAGGTTTATGTATATTTATTCTGTCTCATAAAAAGGTAAGGTGAGGTTTTATATAATTATCTTTGTAAGATTTATTCCATACACATTAAATTTCTTAAGACTAGATTAAAAGATCTGAGACAAATTTTTGGTTTTTCCCAAATAATGTATTTCTTGAACATATTTGAAAATAATGTGTTGATTAATTTTTCTTTCTCTGTTTTTTTTTCCTCTAAAACATTGTCCTTCTAATTCGTTTTGATGTATGAGAAGGCAACAGTTTGCTGAGCGGTGGGCGTGAGTCTGTACTGGTGGAATGGCGAGATATAACAGAGAAGAATAAAGAGTTTCTACCCCGTTTGGGAGCAACAATTGAACATATTTCAGCCTCACCTGCAGGGGATTTGTTCTGTACTTCTCATTCTGACAATAGTAAGACTTTTTTTTATTTTATTGATGTTTGTGGGCATGAGGATGAAGTATTTGAGTAGTCCTTTGTATAACTTTTATATTTTCTGTATAATTAGTATCTATAGGAAATGAAAAATAAAACCCCAGAAAACTTAATTGTGCTTATGTAAAACCTATATACTTGGACCAGGAGGCAGTTGCTAGAACAGAGCAAGGAAACACTGCATGGTTCAAAATCAGAAAAGGTGTACATCCTCTCTCCATACCTTTTTAATCTGTATGCGGAACAGATCATTTGAGAGGCTGGACTTTATGAGGTGGAAAGTGGCATCAGAATTGGAGGAAGACTCATCAACAATCTGAGCTATGAGATGATACAACCTTGCTTCCTAAAACTGAAGAGAACCTGAAGCATTTGCTGCAGAAGGTCAACGACTACAGCCTTCAATATGGATTGAAGTTCAGCCTCAAGAAAACAAAAATTTTACCACTAAGCCAATTGGCAGCATTATGATAGGTAGAGAGGGATGGAGATTGTTAAAAACTTCAGCTTGCTTGGCTTCACCATCAGTACTCTTGGTACCAGTAGCCAGGAAATCAAAAGATGAATTGTACTGCCATGTCCACTGTCAAATACCTCTCCAGAGTACTGAGGAGCAATGATGTCATTATGGAGACTAAGGTGCACATGCTCCAAGCCATGGTTATTATTTGTTATGCATAAGAGAGCTGGACAATAAGGGTGATAGAAGGAAAATTGATGCCTTTGAGTTGTACGGAAGAAGACTATTGAACATACCATGGACTGCCAAAAGAAAGAAAGAAACAGATCTGTTCTGGAGAGGGTAAAACCAGGCTGCTCCTTGGAGGCAAGGATTTGCCTCCATCTCACATCCTTTGGCCAAGAGGGACCAGTCTTTAGAGGAGGACATCCCAGAAGAGGAAGACCCCAGATGGATTGACACAGTAACTGGGGTAGTGTAGGAAGGTGTTTCAGAGACAGACTGGCTCAGAATAGGACAGTGTTCAGAGCTATTGTACATATAATGGCACATAACAATGGCAGCAACAACTAATTAAGAGTGATAAAGATTTAATGAGCAAACTTTTTTTTTCTTCTCTTACCTTCTGGGTCCCCACATGCAACCAGAATTCAACGTCTCAGGATTGTTTTTATGAGAAATGTAGAACTAAATAAATTCATGTAGCTGTTGCTGTGCCATTTGGAATTTTAAAATCCAGGATGATGTGGGGAATTGAAGACACAGTTTTAAAATGAATATTATTGCTTTACTAATTAAGAGATTTAAAAAATATTTTAAGATACATATATATCATCTGTTAATATGAGGCAGTCTTGTGAGTTCTAACAGAAATGGAATCTGTATTGTTTTCTCAGAAGTTCTTATCTATTCAGCCTAGACCAGGCCTGCTTTGTAAATCCCATTGCCTGGTGCCTCCTTTCCATTCAAAAAGAGCATGAAAGTACAGTCATGAATGATACCAGTTGTCTCAAAGTAAAATATCTAATCCTCTCTTTTTTAGAGGATATAGTGTCTGAATTAACACTAAAATATATTCAGAGGAACAACTGATAAAATTTAAGATCTCCATCCTACCCAACAAATTGCAAATTATAGTTCTAATTTTTTTTTACTTTCGAAGTTAATTCTGCTTACTGAATTTTGAGTCGCAGGCGACTCAATGGCACATAACAACAACAACATTTTAGAATGATGTAAATTCAAGTGATTTTTTTCATACTGAGGTTCTGATTTATTTATTCTTAATTTTCTTTTCCCACAGAGATAATAGTCATTCACCGAAACCTTGAGGCCTCTGCAGTGATCCAAGGCCTAGTGAAAGGTATTACAGAACCCAGTGGGTTTAGAATCATGTACTTTTTTTTTTTTTTCAAATAAGTGAATTCTCTGATTTTAACTGCTGTTAAATCTTTTGCAGACAGGAATATCCTTACTGGTTTGATGATTGATCCAAGAACTAGAGCTTTGGTTTTGAATGGAAAACCTGGCCACCTGCAGTTTTATTCTCTCCAGAGTGATAAGCAGCTGTATAATGTAAGATTTTGATCCATTTACTAACTTTAAACTAGTGGAGTCAAGTGATCTTTGTTTATTTGAGAACCGTCAGTATTATGTGTGGTTCAGTTGTTTACCTTTACGAGGACAAGATTGCAGATTAAGTCTGTACATAAGCCATCATCATCAGTCTTATATTTACTGTAAGGCATCTCAGCCTTATATGATTCAGACTGCAGTTGGCTAACACACACCTGTCTGCCTTTGAGTCACATAAATAAGGGTATAAGAATGTATGGTTTCATAGTACATACCTCTCTATGGTGAAAAAGTGTTAGCACGTAATGAAAATAGACTTTTGAGCATAGGTTAAAGAGGAACACTTAAAATCTTGATAAATAAAGAATCCCATTTCCTCCTTTCTATCTCACAATACCATTTACAGATTTCTGTCATAGCAACTTTAACACTTTATCTCTTTCCATTATTTTAAAAATCGCTTAAAGCAGGAAGGTTTTCTTGGTCTTTGTACATTTACATCTAGTTCATTGCCAGAAATTAATAGGCACTTAGTATATGTTTAGTAAATAATCAGGGAAACAAAGTAAAAGAAACAACCATAAATAAAATTACTGCCTGACTTAACAAGAGTGCTTATTATCTTTTTTTCACTTGTTAATATAGTTATTCTTTCTTATCCCCTTGTTGCTAATTTTGTATTTCCAGTTGTTTTGATATTTTATGTGAAGCTCTTTGTTCTCAGAAATGAGTAAAACATTATGTATGTTTTGTTATATTTTATAAATGTGTCATGTTATTGTTACGTGCTATCAAGTCAGAACCAACAGCAGGTTTTCAGAAGCTGTAAATTGCAGTAGGAGGAGATACTATGTATATCTCACAAAGAGCAGCTGGTGTTTTTGAACCATGTGCCTCTAGGTCACAGCTCAGCTCCTTACTCATTAGGCCACTAGAGCTTCCAAATGTGTCATTGTCAGTGTTAATATTCATGGTCATCAAAAAATAGTCATTAACAAACAATTATAATATGCTCCCTTTTTAATGAGATTTTGCTATTGTGACCAACTGTCAGTTTTTATCTTTACCTGAAAATATGACAGATTCTAGTTCTAGAGTCATCTGTAGGAAGTTGCACTAATAACCCAAAGGCAATCTTCCCATGCAGTTTACAGCCCCAGAAACCCAGTGGAGGATCCACTATGAGTCATTTCAATATCAACAGAAGTGAGTTCTTTTGAATGCTATCATATTTATGTATGTTTAAGTTAATAAACATTTTGGTTCTTTTATTTGTTTTCACCTTTAGTTAGATATTATACAGCAAGAATACATCAATGAGAACCATTTGATCCAAATTGAGCTAACAAAGGCTGCATTTAGCCTCAATGGCAACTGGCTTGCAACAGTGGAAGAACGCCAAGAAAAGGCAACAGAGCTTGAATTGCATATGAAACTGTGGTCATATAATAAGAAGACACAAGGGTAATGTTAGCTATATAACTGTTTTTAATTTCTGAATGTAAGGTATTTGCCTTTTTTTGTGGTTTCATTTGTCAGCTTTTCACATATTTCATTCTGATTGATAAGTAAGATTTAGAGGAGTATAGAGAAGTGTTATTCTTCTGGTAAATTCATCTAATGTTCTGAAAAGGTGTCTGTACCCTCTCGGCCATTGTGTCAACCTATTCACATTGAAGGGAATGCCTGTAGGGTCATAATTCCAGACAAATCTCAGGTTAGAAGGAAATGTCCTAATTCCCTTACTCTTCAGTACCATGTTTTCATAATAAAAGCAGTAGTGTGTAGGCAGGCAGAAATTTTTGCCCTTTATGATTAGCAAGAAAACCAGTTCTTTTGCTGTGACTATGTAACCATTTATCTGGTTCTTGCTATATGCCAAAATTAGATGTAGTCTTTTTATTCACTTTTTTCGTGAGTTGGATGAAGTTATGCCCAGCAGATCAGTTTTCTATTCAACAGTTCATATAGATATTCGGTGAAAGTTTTCAGAGCAAATTTGTTTTCCATTCAATAGTTTGTGCTCCTTTTATTTTGTGTCTTTGAATGCAGCCTTTACACGGTAGCCTCATCCACTTCTCTGTTACATTTTCTTGCCTCCTGCTTTCCTAACCCTGCCTGCCTCCTGAGCCTTGTCTTTGGCAAATGCTGGCTGACCTTTTCCTCTCAAATGGTTGTGCGTTCCTCCCTATTGTAGTATTGGTCACCTTAAAGTCTTGGCTGTTTGGCTGAAAGTTAAACTGTGGTGGTGAATTCCATTCTAGGCCTGAAGGGTAGGTCAAGCCCATCCATAGTCTCAGGGGTTTGTTCTACTGGTCTCTATCGGCGCAGAACTGGTCTTTTTGTGTTTTGTTCCACATTTTTCTCTCTATCCAAGACTTTGTAGTGTCATTTCCTGACAGAGTAGTCAGTAGTGGTATCTGGTCACTTTCTAGTCTTGAGGATTTGAAGACTGAGATTTGAATAGCTTGTCCTTTGGACTGTTTTGGTGTGCCTTTAATTTCTTTTCACTCTTTTTTGCTCTAGATGGAGAGATGCCAGTAGTTTTACTGTAGATAACTACTCTAGTTTTTAGGACCCCAGTGACTACTCACCAGTGTAGGGTATAGAACATTTTGGTTTTCAATTGTGTTGTACTACATGAGGTCCTGAACCTCCAGACCCAAGAACTCAGAAGATATAGCTAAGAAATTTTCCCCCTGTATGTTTTTCTGTTGTTATTGCTGTTACATACCCTTAAGTCACAACAGACTCATAGCTGACTGTCCACCAGGTTTTCATAGGCTGTAAATAGCTTGGGAGAATACCCGTCTTCTCTGTGTGCTTTTCTGTATTCATCAATATATTTATAGCATGTGTAAATGCATATGTAGAAATATCCTCTGCCAGACTTCTAATTGTGTTCATGAATATTGTCTCATCCTCTTTTCCATTCTTGTTCAGCTTGAGTTTCAGTGTAACCACTTACAGATTATTATTTCTCGTTTTTTATACTTGACTATATCATTTACTTTTGTTGCCTTGAGCTCCTCGTGTCTTTGCCTTGATCATTTTTTTGCTAACCTTCCCCTTCACCCAAGTTAATATATGTCTGCCCTTTAGTTAGTGATTTACCGTCCCTTCCCTCTCACCTCTGGGGCCTAGTGCTTACACACTGTCTTAGTCATCTTTACAAGAACACTGTAAGATAAGCACAGCTAGCTACATTTTACAGGTGAGGAGCCTGCCCCAGAAAGATTGATTGTCCAAGGTCATCCTTATTAAAAGTAGAGGATCAAGGATTTGAACCTAAGCAGTCTGACTCCCAGCTCTGCTTTTTTTCTACATCAGTGCACTGTCCTGCCATAGCACCTTTTAAGAATAAAAACAGTGCTAACATGCATCATATCTTCTTCAGTGTCTTCAAGCCAGAAACAAGCTCTGCAGGGTTTTTAAGCCTCATAGGGCCGTAGAGAATGCATTAGATCTCTGTGGTCTCTGACCATTATAGATAGTAGACACTCAATTATTTGTTATTCCTGGTGCTAATAGAATAAATTTGTACTTTTTTTTCTCTACTAGGTTTGTTCTCAACACAAAAGTCAGCATGCCACATGACGACCACATCACAGCTCTCTGTTTCTGCAATGCAGGAAAATCGGAAAACCCTGCCTTAGTCACAACTAGTAAAGATGGCTACTTCAAAGTGTGGATATTAACAGATGACTCTGATATATATAGTAAGTTACTGAACTATAACAGAAAAACCCACTGTTGCCAGGTTGATTCCAACTCAGAGCCACTCTCTTCTGACTCCTAAGATGGTAAAGCCTTACAGGAAGGTGTAGTACATCTTTCTCCCGTGGAAACAGCTGATGGATTCCACTCTGCTGACCTGTTAGCTGCTGGCACACAGCACTTAACACACTGTGCAACCAGAGCTCTTTTATTTAACTATGTTATATTGTTGTGTCCCAAGTCAGAAGCAACCCCAGAAGTCCTAGCGGGTTTTCAGAGACAGTGTAAATGGTTCCCTGTTTTCAGAATGGATGTTGTTGTTAGGTGCCATTGAGTCACTTGCGACTCATAGCGACCCTATGTACAAGAGCCCTAAATGCCGTTCTATCCTGTGCCAACCTCGCTGTCTCAAACACATTCATTCCCACCACTCCACTCACAGAATCGACCCATCTCATCGAGGGTCTTCCTCTGCTGCACCATTCCTCCACTCTCCCAAACATGATGTCCCTCTCCAAGGACCAGTCTCTCCTTACATGCCCAAAGTATGTCAGACGAAGCTTCAGAATCCTTGACTCTAGGGAACATTCTGGCTTCACACTCTCCAGGACAAACCCGTTTGTTCTAGCAGTCTGAATGGATTTATTTGTTTTTATCTCATTCAAAAATTCTGTCTTAGAAGGACATTTTCTACATTGTTGTAACTCTATAGGATATTGTCTCGTTTTAAAAGATTTAAGAGTTGACTTTTTTTAACATCCTCCCCTCAAATATATATCTTTTCATTGTACTGATGTATTAATGATCCTAATATGTGGTAGTTGGTGGTGTTGTTAGGTACCATATTGTTGACTACAATTCATAGGACCCAGCCATATCTTGTCAAAGAGGGCTTTTTCCCATAATCATTTCACTGTTCCACCAGGGGGAGACGAAGGTCTTCAGAACATTGATGATAAGTCCATCAGTTTTGCTTTCTCAAATATTAATAACTTAAGGAAGTTTTATAAAATACATCTTTGTGGTTTAGTTTTATGTGTTTCTGATCTTATTTTCTATTCTACCATTTCTGAACTTTTTGGTTTATATTTTCACAGAAAAGGCTGTTGGCTGGACCTGTGACTTTGTTGGTAGTTACCACAAATACCAAGCAACTAACTGTTGTTTCTCGGAAGACGGCTCTTTACTTGCAATTAGTTTTGAGGAAATAGTCACAATATGGGATTCAGAGACATGGGAGCTAAAGTGTACATTTTGCCAACGAGCTGGGAAAATAAGGTAAGTAAATAATTTGGGGACTTAGCAGTATTTTTTTTTAATTAATGTCTTTCTACATAAACTTGAGTAATAATTTATTCTTCTTTCAAAGGTGGTTGTAGGTTAGTGAGGTAAACCTAGAGCCAGAGTGCTAGAAGGTGACATTTCTGGCCACGTTAACCATTCGTTGTGATTTACTCATCTCTAAAATGAGAGGTTAATGTTTCATTGTAGACCCCCAGATTTCCTTTCTCTGTAATAAATTCTTTTATGGGTGTGAATGCTTTATAGTAAATGGTGCCTAATACAAAAAAAATTATATGTAAGCCTCAGTAGATCAAATAATGCTGACATCTGTGTCTTCTCATAAAAACTGTGTTATGTCCTGTAAAGGACAGAAAATAGCAGCATGACCTTCCATTTTTCACAAATAACTGGACATTTGGGTTCAATTCTAATTGACTTCAGGCAAATGGCTAATGAAATTGTTTTATAATTCTCAGATGACTGATTCTGAATTCACTGTATAAAATTTTCTTTAGAGTTCAAGTCGCAAATTTTTCGATAAATAAGCATAAAGTAGGATTTTTTTCAAGTGACCTTCATCTCTGGTATACAGTTTATTTTGTATTGATTTGCTTAGAGAGTTCATATACATTATGTTTCACACTATTCTTCATTCACATTGTGTTTTATGTCCCATTCATTGTTTTATTACATTTTTTTATTTAAGTGATGATTAGTGTAGTTCTCAACATATTAGAAAAGAGAATTGATTATCAATTCTGTTTTCTTAATCATGTAACTTTTCCCTTCTTTACTCTTTAATCATTTTTTTCCTACAGGATGGTTGTAAACAAAAGCATGTCTGTCTAAAAATCTACACTGTAATAGTCTATAATCCTAAACTTCGTTCTTTACACTAGGCACCTTTGCTTTGGGCGACTGATGTGCTCTAAGTATCTTCTTGGTGCTACAGAAAACGACCTCCTTTGCTGTTGGAATCTGCTCAGTTGTACACGTAAGGATTTTTTGTCTTTTTTTTATCCCCCTCTAACATGACTTGGCAAAACATATAGGAAATTGCTCTTAAGCTTTGGGATTTTGGGATATCTGGATCCTGTATCTTCATGTCTCCACCAAGAAAATAAGTAATTTCTCACATGACACATTATACTACCAAAATGTGGAAGATTAGATCTCTACTTCCAAATTTTTAATTGTTGATGCCTGCCATTTTCTCTCAAGTCACATAGTTGACTATTGGTTGCTACTTGGATGTAAAATAGTAATAATAATTTGGGAAGTGCTTCTGTGAGCTTGTTGTGCGTATTACCTGCAATACTCCCGACAGCTTAAAGTATGTGTAACAAAGGTGAACTAACTGCATTTCATTCATTTGAGTATATTTGGAAGACAAGGTAGTTGTACAGTAATGGATATTTATGAAAATTTTGTGTGTGTGTTCTGTATAGTGACTCTGGCAACATTTTATCATGTGTATCAGCAGTGTAATAACACCAAAGAGTTTGTCATTGAAATAATCATTTTGTAGTGTGTAGAAGGAATATTGCTACTCTGCTTTATTTTTCTTTTTCCTACCACTCACTTTAGTACAGCCTCCCACGGGTAATATAAATGTGTTCTATGTGTTCTATGTGTCCAATGATTATCACCGGTTTGGAAGCAGGAGTAGCATCCACTTCCTAAACAACATGCCTCTGGAGACGCTATGAACTTTGGGAAACAATGATAATTATAGAACAGATTTCAGGTATTTTGTTCATAGGGTCGCTATGAGTCGTGCTCAACTCTATAGCAGTCAACAACTTGTGTTAGTTAGGGAGCACTGGTAGCCTAGTGGCCAGAATCTGCACTGCAATCCCAAAGGCACGCAGTTCAAATCCATCAGCTGCTCCATGGGAGGAGGATGGGCAGTCTCCTCCCATGCAGTTAACTGCCTCTGAAATCCTGCCGGGTTGGATCTGTCTCAGCAGTACACAACAACAGCAACATGTGTTAATTGGAAGTGAAAAATCCTTTTTCCTAGAATTAATGGCAGTGAATGACAGCTGAGCACTTAATCACTGCACCACTGATGGCTTCTTATGATTGCAAGTAGATGTTCCACATTATCTAAATGTTAAGCAATGGGTGTATGAGGAATAGGATGTAGCAAAAAGTTGCTATAATCACAAAAGTTGTATACTTTCCTCAAAAGTAAATCACTTTTTCCCTCTAGTGGAATGGAGTACAAAACTGGATGTTAGAGTCATGGAGCCTGATCCGAATTCAGAGAACATTGCCGCTGTCTCTTGGTCTTCAGTGGGTTCAGAC